TATATATATATATATTCATGGGTGCCTAGCCCTAGTTGGAATTAGAGATTATCATGAAATTATGAATTAGCTTGTCGGTCACCTATTAACTTAGATGGGGCTAGAAACGACACCGAGGACCCGGTTCCATGTGGCCGGTAATAGTTTAGCCAATCATGCAAACAATTTGTTAATAAATAATTAACATTTACTATTTATGACGACATTGTGGACCCAACAGTACTCTATGAAATGTCCAAATAGTCCTTTAATTGTTTACATGAGAGTAGTAGATTATAAAACTGTAAAATTAATTTAAGGACCCTTTAAATTAGGATTAAAACAATCTCAGGACTAAATTGACTTTCTTATGAATTCAGTATTCGATCACTCTATCATTTATGAAATCCACAAATGACAAATAACAAAGTTATAACTTTTTTGCAATAGTAATTCATCGAGGGACTCATTATCATTATTTTTCCAATTAATTTTAATTTTAACTTCTAAAATTCGCTGTAATTTCAATGAAATTAGACTAATTTGGGATTAATCAGCTTCAAGAACCCCAATTAATTGAGCAAAATTCATCTGAACAACTGGTTGAAGCTAATGGAAAAAATTTGTGTGCGATAAAGGTACACAGTGCTGCGTGCGATATTGGGGTATACCGAGGGTACAAGGGGATTACGTCCACAGTATAAGCTCTTGTAACCTCTGTGTAACCTCTTAATATATGATAACAGAAGCGGGAAACTTATTTTAGAGTACAAATAGGTTACAAACAAGAAGATACAGGGAGGTTACAAGGGGTTATACCGCGGATGTAACCCTTGTACCATCGGTATAACCCCAATGTAGCACGCAGCGCTGCGTGAGTCTATCGCACGCAAATTTTTTCTGAAGCTAACACCCCATCTTTTGAGAATTTAAATGTGATAGTAATTCATTGAGGAACTCATTATCATTATTTTTCCTAACAAATTTCATAATCTACACACAAAACAATATTAAAAAAAATATGGCATAAATTATATACTTAATTAAAGATAACTCAACACTTAAAAACCAAAATTAACCCACAAAATTCGGCTTCCACATTTTAATATATTCAACAAGATTACATAAGAAATCGATTAAATCAACTCTCTAATATTGGGAAAAAAAATTGCGTATGTCAGTCGTACGCAGAGATGTGTACGTAATATGGTACAAGGGCGTTATACGGGGGTTACATGGGGTTTACAAGCGTGTTATAACTTCCTTGTAACTTTCGTGTAACTCACCTGTAACCCGCGCTTTTATTTTATCCATTGAGGTTACAAGATTACAGCGGGGTTACACGAGCTTTACACGGGAGGTACAACAGACCCCTTGTAATCCCCATGTAACTCCCGTATAACCCTCCGTGTATCCTTTTACGTACTTAACTCCGCTTGAGATAATCAATTTTTTTCCCTAATATTGACCATCAGAAGCGCGGGCATTCGGGTGTGAGCGAATGATCACGCTTAGGATCGCGGCAATAGTCGTATACGAGCGAGCGGCGCTGCGCCCACTGCATGGCCGCGCGCTGAGGCTGGCTGAGCCCGCCGGAGAAGAGGCCGGCGGACGGCAAACCGGCGGCGAGGCGGCGGTGCAGCCGCGTGCAACGAAGCGGGTGAAGCGAGCAACGAAGGGCTGGAAGCGGTAATCGGCTCTGTACTTGCCGTCATCCGTTGCCCATGAAGAAGCATCCCAGATGGATCCGTATACCCACATCGGCCTCCGAGGAAATGTCCACGCGCTCCACTTCGCGTATTGTCGGATCGGTACGTCGTCTACGAAGAAGCTGCTTGTTGGATTCAGAGCATGGACACAAGGTGTTTGTTAGAATGCCTCTTTCAGCCATACATTTCGTACGAAATCGAATGACGAATTTTGGTCATCTTTTTATTATTGAAATCTATTTTAGATAATGTTTAAGTTGATTAGGGACTGAACTGACTTTGAACTTCAGATTCCAAAACAATAGTGCTCGTACAGACTCAGACATGTTGTCGCATCTGATGCTTTCAAGCTATCCTAAACAGAAAAGGCGCAAGATTTCAGCCCCAAGACTACTTGACGGACGAACCTGACACAATTTATTGCACATATCTGCCTCATGTACCTCTTGCTATAAGTAATCAACAGCGACAGCAATAAAACGCCAGGAGCAATTAAAAGGTCTCATTTTTACATTTCACTTTCGCTTTTATTTATTTATTTTTGTGAATGATGAGTGTTGCGGGGAGTGCTAGCTGTGAGTAATTAATATTGTTTTAATGTTAAAGCAGATCTAAAGATTTCAACATCTATGATGACCACTTACTTTCAATTTAGATCCTACGCAAATTTTGTCTCATGCAACCCTCTACCTTTGGAATTGATTGACCTTTTCACCTTTGCCAATTTCCTCAAGAGCAGTCCTATTGTCTCCAAAAAGAAAGGATAAAAATATTATTTTGACCATTTTGTGGAGAAAAAAAAATTGTTTTTTTTTTTTTTTTGTGTATATATGTTTTGGGAAATATGATTGAATCTTCTAAGAGGGAAAGATCTTAAACTTGCATTAGTTTCAATCAAAGAGAGGCAGTTCCTTCTAACCCGCCACCCTGTTTATTTCCTCTGGCCCCATGAAATTAATCCAGAACACACACTCTAACGACAAGTACATATTTTATTCCAAATTGATGCAACCCTGAATTAATTTCATACTTACATGATTTCCCTCGGGTTCCACAGAATTGCATAGTTGTGGAAGGCAACCGTCGGATCAAACCATAGATGAAACTTCATCTCCCTTCCTATGATCCTCCCATCGCCGCTCCCTAGCACGTACACATTCGTCTGCAGAGTGTATGGCTCGCCTGGCTTCGTCCCCAGAAACTCCATATCGACCTCATCATGGAATCCGGGATGTGCCTCATTGTTTGATAGCTAAGCGAAAGAAAGATGGGAAATTTAATCATTTCCAAGCTTACGATTTGTGAAAGGAATTAGCTTTTTCACTTACATAGAAGGCCGTTATAACTCCTGCAGTGTAGCCCCTCTGAAGCTTGATTGAAGCTGCAAAATAGCCACTTCGAAAAGCTCGAATCGACTTGAACCCGCTTCCTGGTGATTGTTTTGCAGAATGAGGAACTAATGCAGTGGCAATGATGAAGTTTGTAATGGCAATGTGGAGAATGTGGCACCTGAGTTCCGATCGAGCCAGATGGTGAGTGAGGATTGGTCAGCAGAGACCCATTGGTGCTGAGGCCCCCAGAGATTAGTGAAGCCATGATTGAACCTCACTGGTCTTGAGCGCCAGCTTGGATAGAAACCAGGAGAGGGCTGAGCATTGCTGCTGTGAGGGAGGGGAAGAAGAATAGAGATGCAGAAGAAGAGGAAGAGAGCCATGACAGGTGGAATAGATGATGCAGGAAGGGTCACGGGTGTGATTAAATGCGAAGAAATGGAGAAGAGAAGGGTCCCATTCAACAGAAGAGATTGATTGCTAGGCAACATGGCTGTTGGGAAGCAGACAAAGCAGGAAGGCAGCAACTTTTACAGCAAAGGGAAGTCAAGAGGAAATTGTTGAGGTATATTTCCTTTGAGAAAAGTTTGTGAGAAAATACTTGGGGTAATTTACATAGGCAGAATGCAATTATTATTATGTATCTACATGTCTCACACAAATAGCACTTTGGTGTTTTTTTATAAAGTAATAACAGTGCTATTTTTTTATGTGATACTAAATATTTGAGTGATATGTGTGTGAATATGAAATTTTAGGTGTGAGACATGTAAATACGTCAAATGTATGCAAACGCCTAGTTTGTAAAGATGAAGATGCGTTTTTGAAGGAGGAATTCAAACTATATGTATGTTTTTTGCTTTAAGATTCGTGCTTGTGCTTGAAGATTGTTCTCTAGAATTCGAAGGTAAAATGTAGAAGTCCAACTGTAGGCTTTGTACTGAATTTCTGAAAGATTTCTATAATGAAGCTTTCCCATGAATTTTGTCGGCTTAAAAAGGGTAGATTTTGAGATAGATTCCTTTCTAGTAGTTATGGCAGCTGTCTTGTTCATGTGCCTTTCGGTGGAGTCTTTCCTCCCTATCATTAAACTCGAAGTTAATTTTTTGCCCAATCATTAGTCGGTGGCTTGGTGATTTACATTTCTGTTTTTTTTTTTTTTTTTGAATATTTGCATGCATACTATTCAATTTTTATATATTTATATATCTAACACTTAAAATTTCAATTTTTACATGCATGCGAACATTAACTTTGTATGCTTCATTTTTTAAATCGAAAAATAGTAATATTTTTTATGTGACATGAATGATTAGATATTTAAAATTAAAAAAAAAAAGGTGATACGTATGTATTTTTTTTGTTCTTGGAAGTTGGAAATTAAAAAAGAGATTTGATCTCACGCGCTGAAAATAATTCTAAATTGTTTTTGTTGTTTATTATCTATATTATTTATGTATATTTTGATTTGAAGTAAAATATAGTTGATATGTTAAATATATTCGCTTATTTTTAAAAACATTTAAAATTTTTAAAAACATTTAAAATATTTAAAATCATTTTGAGCTTTTTTTTTAAATAAACTTATTTATTTTCTTAAAACAAATAAATAAAAATATATAAAAATATGCTAAAAGTATGTTTTAAGAGCAAATGAAAATACAAGTGATTGCAAATATATTTTATTCACATGATCTATATATATATATATATATATATATATATATATTGGAACTTTCAAGTGTTTTTAAAGCAAGTTGGGCCGTTGCATATAAAAATATATACCATATATACTAAGAAAACGACATTTGTCCTTGGAGTTCTATAGCTATTTCATATTCCCAAAAATGTTCAATAGCTATAATTAACGGTATTGTTGCTCGCAATTCTCCCATCCAAACAATTTAAATTTGATTCCACAGCAACGGTCATTTGCAACGGCTAGTTACCATTCCTAAATTTGTCCATATATTTCTAGTTTTAGAATGTATTATAAAAGCCATAAAATTATAATATCAAGAAACCAAAGCATCGATCCAATGAGCTCAAAGAGACTCACCTAAGCTCAACTAATTGAAGGGTTTCACTGAGCTCGAGTTCGTCTCAACTTTAGGATGGTCTTCTTGAACGAAGGAGAAGCCCATTTAAATCCGATCAATCAAATAACTTTTCCCAATTAATGGGTGGCTCCACCAATCAAGCTCATTTAAAGCACTCGCTCCAAACAGTTGTCTGCAAATATCACTCTTTCTTTATCAAAGTGTTCTCATATTTTCTTTCATGCATAAATTTATGACTAAATATTAAATTTTATGTATCATATATGTAAATATATATAAATTTTATGATGTTATTGGACTCAAATTTGTCATAAAATTAGGAGTGTTAAAAAAGATAAAGAGTATAGGGAGAAATAAGCAGGTTTAATATTATCATCTTAAATTCCAGCCCCCAGCCTTTGTAACATTTAATGCTCATCTATTTATATGGAACTAGAATAACTATGAAATGACAAGCCTATCTTTGACATTTCTCTGGTCGGTCAATCTTCTTAGGTCGGCCTTTGGTCGAGTCAGCCATTCGGCTTTGCGCGTCCGCTAGCCTTTCTTTGTTCCACCAATGAGTTGATTGATCATTGAAGTTGGTCATCTCTAAGTTAACCGATCTTTGTAGAATCTCGGGTTGGTCTGCCGACTAATCCTCATTTGATTGGTTTCTTCTCACTTTGGATATTCCCGTCTAACATGGATACTTCAACAGGTGCCTAGTCCAAGACTGATTATCTGATAGGTCAAACACATTTTTCTTGTGCATATATGTATAATTTATGTAAATTTCTCAACAACAAAATGATGCACATAAGGCTGCGGGATATATGCTAAATGACTGCATGAATCTCCATATTTCACGTTCACGAAACTCATGTTGCCATTTAACTACTCAACCGTGATTAAATATTCATTTATTTAATATTTTATAAACTATTTCATTAAATAAAACACTTATGAAATTTACTTATTTTTTAAATATTAATTAAATAATCCTCATATTTATTAAGTTACTCAATTTAAGCTCCATTGCTCCAATACTTATTAAAAATATTTGCATAAATACCCCAATTCTTATGTATTACATATCTAACACTTAAATTTTAAATATAAATGGCATCTTATATAGACATGAAAATGTGCGTTTCATTTTTTTTTTAAGTTCAAATAAAGATATTTTTGATATGATAATGAAAAAAATGATTGTGTACAAAAAAAAAATAAATAAATAAGATACCAACACAAATTGCAATGATATTTCATGGGTAAAGGAAGAGATGACATGGTCTTGTGGGACCTACCAAGCGCAATCTAGGGTTACATGATCGATCAGCCAATTTTCTTCTTACATTGTAGAAACGGTACATATCAGGCAGATAAGAGAAGAATTAAATCTGAAGAATCCAGCCGATTAAATCCGTCAGGTCGAGCCCGTTATCTTCCAGCTATGGTGGATTTGAAACAAAGAATGGGTCATTCAACTTCAGGACAGATAACAAGGACGCTTGGGGAGTGGTTAACCATCTTCATAGTCATCCGACCAAGCGGCCGCTCAGTCTAACTATAGTCGGGCGACCATAGCCACGACCCTCATAGAGTATTCATGCGTGAACTAAAATACCTGTGTCACACCTATTCTAGTGGTACAATGTGTAAGTATATAAAGACTCATTTTTATAAATAAGGGTTTCATTTCACCAATAAAAGGGGCCGCATATTTACGCTCTTTAGTGTGTTATTGCTCTCTCTCTCTCTTATCCTCTATCACTCTATTCCTCAGACATGTCTCCAAGACAGATTCAGACTTAACAGGTGATATAAATATACAAAAAAGAAATAGTTATGTGTTAGTAAATACATAAGAACAGGGCGGTATATTTGTAAATTTTCCTACTTACAGGAAAAAGGCCAGCGTTGTTTAACTCTGATAATTGTCGCCATGGAAGACCAAACAAAGGACGGGCCGAGAATACTGTTCGAAGAGGACGGCCGACACTCTCTCAAAATCCGCGTACGATTCAGCGAGGGAAGGAGATGGCCACTGCAATGGTTAGTCATCAATATTTCACATACACTTGGCTCGTGAATTTCTTATTATTTATTATACCCACTCTTCTTTGTGAAATATTTAATTGCATGTAATCATATTTTATTATTACTAGTGAATTTTAGGTTTTAAGTTATGATGCTCTAACTTCATTTTAAATGTTGATTCCGAATCCTTCTTGTGGGTCATGTCTAATGAATAAAGCATAGAAAAAAAGAGCATGGTGATTCGGAGTAGTCAACAGGAACTTAGAGCAAGTATATTAATATTTTTCTGTTTGTTTTTGTTAAGATTTATGTAACCATTTATTTATAGACAAATGAGATGTGGTTCATAAATCTACATTGATACCCCTACTTTAGTAGGAAATGTACGAGGCGTTATGGATATATTCGCAATTCACATAGCTTCTCAAGATAAGGGAGACATTCATGTTAACCATTGGCATTTAATACATTCTCATAAATAAATTAAGTCGCCACTTTTTCACAATAATACATAATTGTTCATCCACATATTATAAGAAAATAATGTTCAGGTTGATGTTCTTTTCGAAGCAGCAACCACAATAATAAAAATTTATATAGGAGAACATGTATTGAGGATATAAGTTTTACAAGAATTCAAGATCCCTAGTTGGTACAATTCATTAAGGAATTAAGTAAGACTTCTCGGATGGACTTTGTACTCTTTTTCATGCATGATGGAATGCTGCCTGGGGATCCAACAAACTGTCATTCATCTTCGACGAAAAGATACAAACTTTAGCATGATTGGAGATGAAGTCTATTAGAACATTTACAAAATCATGGCTTATGCATCTTTTACTGTCAATGATTGAATATGCAACATGAGAAGTTCACTCAATGACATTTGTTCATAAATTCTTAAGATGAAGGTTCTACGAACTTATAATAAAATGTAATATATTAGATTGTGCATGAAACCATAATAAATGTCAAATATATTTTAAAATCACTCACATTCCACCAAACTTCTTGACGATAAGTTACAATTATGAGACCCCTTTTTATTATATTAAATAATAAAAGTTCATCATTTTGATTGACTATTTCACTTATTAGTAGAAGCCATGAAACTTACAATAATTATTGAGATAAATATTAAGTAATTTATTTATAGGAATACCATTTATCACTTTGATTTTTCTATAAAGATAATCATAAGTAATAGAGCTCAATCCATTGAAAGGAAAATTCCCAACCTTTTCTTAAGATCTTTATATTCAATTGGTCTAGGTGGATGTTGTGCATCCCTAAATTTGAATAAATTCACACTCATCCATTTTGATGTATTTATGATATTTAAATATAAAAAGATTAGTCTTTGATTAAATGAACTAACATGGCCATCTTATATAATATTTTAGGTTTTGGCTAATTTTATTAAAATATAACTTTTTAAATAAAATCTCAGTACTTGATGCAAAGAGTTTTTGAACATAATTTAAAAATATATAAAGCTATACCAAATATCAAATATTGATAACCTCCAATAGTGATGGCCCTACTATGATCGAAGCCAGCTAGTCATTATCGTCCAATTAGAATTGCTCATCCATAAAAGTTCGGCTATTGTTGCTTAATAACTATCGCCCAAGTTTCGTCATTCGATCACCATTACTCAATTAATTTTCTTATAACGGTCATGTTCTATTATTTCAAACATTATTGTTCAAGTGTTATAAGTTAGTTGTTGCACGTTGCTAGTTGCCATTCGACTGATATCACTCATTTATAATCACCAAATTGTTATCTAATTTCCCACTACTTCCATCAAAATCAACGGAGGATAAATTTGGATCGTGTGCATTACTTTATAGTTCTTTCTTACGCATTTTAATACGTGAACAAGCCTTTGTAATCTTTATCAATATAGCATATTCGTTAGTTGGATTGGGTCACATAGCTTTATTTATTTCATTTTGGATTTTTCTCTATACTTCTTAACTACTTATTTTTGTATGAGATATTCATATAAAATTAGGATTCCACAACTCTTTTGCTACAACTATTTTTAACATGCAATCCTAGTCAAAACTTGAGATTATTTCTCTATATAGCTCTGTTAGAAGGCATAATACATTATTGAGGAGAAGTTCCACCTTATTTGGACCTGAAACGACCCATAAGTGCGGACCGTTAAGTTTTAATGGCCCAACGAAGTATGCCATACCTCTGTTTATTATGACAAGCGACTCTTAAATTTCTTTTTTTGTTTTTCACATTATTTATGATGATCCACTTAATGCTTATGTTCTTTAATTGTCTTATGATATTTTTATTAGTTTTATTATTATTATTATTATTATTATTATATATATATATATATA